GTGAGAATAAAACCAACAAAGGGTGCAGAACGGTCAGCTATGCGAAATAATGAATTTAAGATTTTTTTTCCCCATAAAAGATAAATTTTCACCTTACTAATTAGCAGTCAAATATCAATTTCTAGAGCCCAAAGACATAAGCACACGGTAGAGTATAATAGAGTAAGAGTTGATGCGAGTGTAATGGAACGCGGCCATACGGCAGAGGATCTTGGCCCCGAGGGAGGAGGGATGGATGTCACCTTGTCCTCTGCTTGGCGGCGCCCGAGCGATGGCGCGCTAAGGTCGCGACGACGACCTCGTCATCCGTGGCGGACCCAGCCCGAGAAAGGAGGTCGGGAGGATCCGCCGGCCTGGCCGCCGCCTAGGCGGAGGTCCTCGTCGAGGTCGGCGGCAATGGCTAGGTGAGCGGCGGTCGGAGACTTGTGGCGGACCGAACCAAACTCGGCCTTCTCATACTCGTCGTCATCCTTTCCGACGCCGCCGCCACCTCCATCCTTGCAGCCATTGCTGCCTGAGTCATTCTCGAAGAAGGGGCGCAGATGCGGCGGTTGTGGGGGCGGGCGAAGTGTCGGGAAGAGGAGGGAGTGGACGACGGGTTTTTTTTTTCTCTCTTTGATTGATTGATTGATTGAAGGCGCGGGGACGACATAAGATATTCGGTGGACGGATGTAATGGACGGATGTAATCAGTGCGTGGGTACGGCGGGCGGGTATGAAAATCATCGGTGAAAAAAAACTGGCGCGGAGTCCTAGATACAAATCACCATGTTCGTTTCCTAACGATCCTAAATTTAGGTAACAGTATTTTTCTCTCACACCAAACTAGCCATCAGTGAATAATTCACGATACGATACGGCGTTCCGAACAGGCTCATGTTCGTTTGGCCGTGGCCTGTCGTAAACGATTATAAATTTTTAGCCGAAATAATATTTTTCTCACGCACGAACCAGCCAACAGTACTTATTCATGAATCAGCAACGATACGAACCAGTCAACCGAACATGCTATCAATGCAAAAAGTTTTCGACTCAGTTTTTGACCGGATCCGCTTGTCGGGGGAGAAACTTACTTGCGTTAGATCTGAGTTTAAAGTTGATTGAAGACATAAAAATTAATGTGAGTACAAAATTTATGGGTAAGAATTTATTTAGATTGCTTTGCTCTTTCATAGTATAGATAGATAGATATAAGTTTGACTAGGTTTGTTATAAAGAATACTAGTACTTACACTTTAATAGCTTGTCTTAAAGTTTAGCTTGTTTTTTGTTTTTTTCAAGTGACCTGAGCCCTCTCACAACAATTCAAATTGGAATAGTATTTTTCGGTCATTTTAAATTTTCGATAAACGGGGCTAAGCTTTTCGAAGTCGTCGATGACCTAAGCCCCTATTTTCATGTTCGCTTAACTTATAAATTGTAACAACCAATACAATATTTTTCTTATAACAAATTAGACAACGATATTTTCAGCCATAACTTATCGTACCAAACGAACCGTACACATGTTCACCGCCGGCGGGGCTCCCAGCAGTGCGAGCTCGCCATCCTCTCAGGCTCTCAGTTCTTTAGTTTTCCCTCTTTGCAGACTGCTGCCGTTCTCAAGCGAATCACTCCAAAGTCTGACAAGTAATGGCATCCAGTGAAGCGGACGGCGAGAGCAGGCGAATGTTCACGCCAAAGTCGCCCTTGGACTCAGAATTTTTGTAGAAAAAGTACCTTCCAAGTAGATTTATTAGGTAAACTAACTTCCATTAGATCTAACAAGCGTGATGGATGATCCTAGCACGTAGTCTTAGTCGTAACGTTTCTTTAAAGTGATATATACTTGAATGATTCAACGTCAGTCTTAGTTGCAATGTTTTTTTAACGTGACTAGCTCCAACATGAATCGTCGTTGCAATGATTTTTTTTTTTTAGAAAATGGTGTTCTTGCCCCTTACACAGATGTGTAATTGTGATTTTGCCCTTAACTATTCACAAGTCAACGCGAATTTGCCCCTGTTTTTACCGTTGATCAGAGGTAAAATCACGTTGATTTGTGAACAGTTAAGAGCAAAATCACAAAATTAGAAAAACAAGGACAAAATCACAATTGCACATTAAAGTAGGGCAAGAACACAAGAGTCTCTTTTTTGTTTGTGGTATACGAAATTGACACGTCCAAGTTTTTGACTAAGTGATATTAAAACTATGTATGTATGTTATGGTTTGGAATGCAAATACAAGAAACATGTTAACTAGATTAGATCTAGTCAAAAATAAGCGTCGTGACATGCTTGTGGTCTACTCGTGATCAAATCAGTGCTCCGAACATACAGTTCGTCAATGACAATTTCAGGAGAAAAATGATTGAGCGAATAAACTTAGTTAAGATAATTTAGAGTAAAGTTCATGACCGGTCCTCCAACGTATGGGGTGTGTCATCTCAATCCCCATCTCAAAAAGTGTGTCATTCCGGTCTTTAAATATTGTTTGGGTCCAACGTTCATCAGAACAGGTATGGATTCGTACCTATGTGTAGAGATAAGACCTGATCCCTTGTAATAAAAGATTAGCGGAGCCAGGCACATGAATTGCATAAAAATTTACAAACTTCATGAAGGACTATTTTGAAAATAATCATCTTCTTAGCAACGCGAGTTCATCATTCTCTCCCATGGTCGGCAGGCGGCGACGTGACACAGCTGCAGCAGGCGGTGGTGCGGCCTGCGGCCGGGCGTGGCGGCGGCGGCGCGACCGGCAGCACGCGCTCGCCGCCACGCCCGGCAGCACGCGTTTGCCTACCCCTATGCGGTGGCGTGGCCCGTGGCCCGTGCACTCACCTGGCCACGGTGCGGCAACGTGGCCCATGGCTTGTGGCTCACCGGCCGCTGCGCGAGTGGCGTGGCGCGCCGGCGGCGGCGGCGCTTGTGCTTTCGCTTCGCCCCGACGCGACGGCACGCGGCTCACATGCCTTTCTGCTGCTGGGGCGGCGTGCAGGCAGCCGGCGTGCTGCGCGTTCGCTTGGCGAGCTCACATGCCGGCGGCGCGAGAGCAGCACGGGGTGGACCTCGTCGGCGTGGGCTCGCCGGTGCTGAGCTTAGCGTGTTAGCTTCCTCGGCGCGAGGAGCAGCTGCGCCGCCGTGGGGTGCAGCTCACTGCCGCAGTCTCGCCGGTGCAGAGCTTTATGTTGTGTCTTCCCCGGCATGACTATGCCGACTCGAGGAGTCGTGCAGTAGGAGCTCATCGTTCTGCTCATTGTGTGCCGAGCTCAATGCAAAGAAGCAAGATCGCGGCACCCGATAGGCGAAAGCACCCATCGCCATCGGCGCTGCATGGGTCATGCCGCAGCAGCCGCAGGAGAAGAAATAGGCGGCCTACCAGGCGAGCTAACCATGGCCTTGAGAGAGGTGAGAGATAAGAGATAGCCGTGAGAGAGGTGAGAGATGAGAGATAGAGCTGACTTGTGGGGTCAAACCTCATTTAGATGAATATGAGTACCAAACAGAGCTGACCGGGACGATACATTTTCTGAGTAAGGGGACAACGATGACACACTCTTATAAATTCGAGGAGTGATAGTGAACTTTAGTTGATAATTTAGGTGGTAGTTTTAGAATGTAACTTCCGTACATGTTGGCAAATCATGATAATACTAATATAATTTTCTAATATTCAAATTCCCTGAAGGTGATTTGCCGTGCATGTCAAATCGTACTTTATTCCCATGGACAATGGTCCCGTTCACTTCGCTGAAAAACAAACCGAAACACTGTTCCGGCTGATTTGTTGTGAGAGGAAAATACTGTTTCGACTAAAAAAAAAAGCTGAAAAGTACGGATTACAAGAGAAACGCGAACAGAGCCAATAACGTTGAAATAATTTTCTATCTAAAACTAATGATTTTTCTAGTTATTTCTTTTTTACCTTTATATTAATTGTTTACCTTTTTCTAAAATGAAGGGCTCAGATTTATTTGACCTCTTACCTCCTAGGAGGTAATGGAAGTACCGTAGCAAGACTCTATCTCAAATCTTTGCTCTTTTTTTTTTCTTAATATGAAGGGATACAGTGGTTTAGTATAGTGTAAATCTGTTCTATGGTATGGTTCAATGTGGATCTATACTAGCTTGATAATTGATTTTCTTGTTAATTGATACAAAGACATGAAATGATTCGAAGGAATGTTGTTTATTACTTTAAATTGTTACTGGAGTTCTACCAAAATTATTGATTTTGTCGATTTTGGGTATATCGAGTAAAACTCAAACCCAAATTATTGCGTACCAAAACTTTGAGTAATGCTTTATTAGGGCAAAAATCAGGTAGCAATTTGTGATACTCGAATTATCTATCCTAAAATTTTTGAGTTGCCTGAACGCCCACCCCTACTCTATTCAATCCAAATATAAGTCATTTTAGACTTAGCGTGAGGACGCGAAGGGCGGTGCGTGGAGTAGTGGGTGACCGTGACGGTGTGACAAGTCGTCGGAGATAGGGAATATACCGCAGGGGGACATGAAGTGGAGTGCCGGAGTGAGCCTCATATGTTAGCGAGCGAGAGTAAGGGGAATAAGAGGAGCGTTTTTTTTGTCTATACAAATATATAAAGCCACTATTCGTATGTCAGTACGTGGACCTAAAGACATGACACGTTTATGGCATATTTTAAGTTGTGAAGAAATTATATTGACACCAGTCCTAGCTATTTGATAAGAAGCAGTGATTGAGTGCCTTGAAACATTAATTTTTTTTGAAACAATAAACATTAAATTTATCACAGCATGATTATTATTAACCTAGACTCAAATCCCCGCACTATCTGTAGAATGGACCTTGCCTCAGCAGTGAGATCACAGAACTCAGGATTTTCTACGGAATCTCGTCTGCGCGCGCCGCCGGCCAGCTTAACTTTCTCTCAACGAAAGCTCTTCGCGGTTCAAATCTATTTATATATATCCCATCGTCCCGAGAAAGCATCCACAAACAAAACTAAAGAAAGAACTGTGTAAGAGACCATGGCAAGCTCGCACTGCTTTGAGAACCCGCCGGCGCTGGAGGCGGCCAGCGGAGGAGGAGTGGTTGTTGACGACTTCGGCGGGCAGAAGACATACATCACCGGCTCCGCCGGGTCCAAGGCGGCCGTCGTCCTCATCTCCGACGCCTTCGGTGATCTTTCGTGCCCCGAGCACCCGAGTCCAGCTTCAAAGTTCTTGTGTTTTTATTTGTTAGCATTGAAATCCGTTCTTCTTTGTAGGGTTCGAAGCGCCAAAACTGAGGTACGCTATCAGTACGATGATCTATTACCTTCACTTTTGTTTCGTTAAATCCTAATTTTAGGGTGAGTTGTTGGTAGTGGTGGGAAGAAAATCAGGTCTTGTTTGGATGTCTATATATCTACTTCGATTCATATATGTTGAGTGAATTGATATAGAATTTAAATAAAATTCTACACCAACTCACCCTAACACACATGAATTGAGGTAAATACAATGCATCCAAACAAGCTTTAAAGCGCATGTTAAAGAAAATGAGCACCTGCTAGTCAAACTCTGACCTTCTAGTCTGAGCTCGGTAGTTGCCATAGAGTTAATCGTTTTGCTCAGCCTGGGCTCTCGGGTTTAAAATTTGTCCAATGGGTTGTTTAAAGTTTGAATTGTATTAGCTTTAGTTATGAATTACATTAGTAACTGATGTTAAACGTTTATCTCGCGCAGGAAGATAGCCGACAAAGTTGCTTCGTCCGGTTACTTTGTTGTGGTGCCCGATTTCCTGCATGGGGATCCATATGACCCCAGCAATCCCAACAATCCTGGAATGTGGATGCAGGCGCATAATCCGGTTTGTCTTCTCTTCGACTTTATTCTAATACTTTCTTTTTTATTACAGTAGTAAATTGATTGTATGGGAATGTGCAATTCTCGTGCAGTTCATAGCTAGTGAGTACTTTATTTTAGGGTTCATAGTGTCAGCCCTGTAGAAATCATGACAAAACTGAAAACTCCCAAGTAGGGATGAAACACAGATACAATACTGGTATTTGTTTGTTTCTGAGATTCAGAGTTGGATGTGTTCTGTATGAATTGGATATATATTCAAAATTGTTCAACGCAATATACTAATCTTATTATTACTAAATGGAGGCCTCCAATGGAGCCTCTATATTAATGCTCACAAGGTGCGCTAGAAAAAATATAAATCAGAAATTCTCAGAAAAAATTAGCAATTAGTTCACAAACTCTAGTAATCATTTAATATTAATATTCATCAGATCTATTATGTTTTCTGAAACAATTATTCACCACTGCCATTATGAATACCAATATAAAGCAACCCACGTGAAGTAATCATATAAATATGCATCTGAATTACCCGCCTTTGTCATTATTAAACATAATCTAGAATAACCTGTAAATTCACATCTAAATTACCCACCATGCTATTATGGTATAATCGAATAATGCATAAAATATGCATCCAAATTGCCCACTTCTTCACTATTAAAACTAAATTAAAATTTTAACTCAAATCTAGGCCTTAATTATAGACATGTTGTGCGATCATGCAAACCAATTATTTCTAAGCATACATGTTGTGGAATGATGCAGATCAAGTATACATGCCTGCTCGAATTGCTAGGAATTTTTCTGCAGTGAATTCTTCGTGTGTCTTTAGAAAATGTTTATGGAATAATGGAAAAAGATATGTATCTTCTGCTAGAAAAAAGGGTTTGAAGAGGCAAAACCAGTTATTGCTGCTCTAAAGGAGAAAGGAGTGTCTTCTGTTGGGGCTGCAGGTTACTGCTGGGGGGGTAAATACCATATTTTGTCTTCCCCGTGCTTCTTTAGTTGTGAACTTAAAATTTGAATGTTTAGCTGGCTGAGCATTGTGTCTTCTCTGACATGTAGGAATTGTTGCTGTGGAACTGGCAAAAGCTCATGAGATTCAGGCTGCCGTCGTATTGCACCCTGGGCCTATTACTGTTGATGATATCAAAGGTCATCTGATTTCTCTTTAATTTTGGAGACACTCTTAACACTTCTCCATAATTTTATTGCAATTGACTCAAAACCTAACTATATAGTTGCCAATTAACACCAGAGGTCAAGTGCCCGATTTCGATACTTGGAGCCGAGAATGACCATTTATCTCCACCAGAATTAATCAAGCAATTCGAGCAGGTCCTTTCAGCAAACTCAGGAGTAAGTCCTCACTTTCAGCAATTCAACCACGTAATCCACAAGCTAGAGCATTGGCTCGAGTAATGTAATCAGCTAAAATTGACTCATTCTAGTGCTAAACTGTGTCAATCACATATGTGCACTGGCATCACGGGCTCCTTACAAATCATGGCAACCATGCCTTTAAGTCCTGAATTGGTTTGTGCTCTTTCGGTCTACAGGTTGCTCACTTTGTCAAGATTTTCCCTGGTGTTGCGCATGGATGGAGTGTGAGATACAACGATGATGATGAAGATGCTGTCAAGAGTGCTGAGGAAGCGCTGGGGGACACGATCGACTGGTTTAACAAGAACCTGAAATGAACTCTGAAGTCACAGCTTTAAATGCAATAAGCCCTTGCTACTCCTGTCATGGTTGCAAATATTCTCGGTTATCTGCTTTTCAGGACCTCATCTTCAGTTGATTTGGTGTCTCACGCTGTTTTCTGGTTGTATACCATAGAGACAGATTGGTTATGCTGAATGTGAAGGAAATGGAACCAAGTTATTACAAGTATACGTATCTGTAACAAATGGGCTTTGTTTCGGTCCAATCGCTGTATCTGGTTTGATCTAAGAGGGATCAGAACTATTTATTTCAATGAATGTGAAGTGAAATATATTGAAGTTTCAAAAGGAAAATTAAGCTGGGATGTCGGAAAGTCGAGGAGCCAAAGGTGGATGCAAGTTGAGGACTCAATGATCAACCTTCAGTTGATAGCATTTTTTTTCAACGACTAGCGGACCTGAAGAAGTTCTAGCAAGGAGCAAAACGCAGTACATCATGAGCTCTTGGCACAAGGTTATTCAGTAATCACTAATCACGCATCCCTTTTTATTTGCGAGGAAAGTGGCACTCACCAAGTTTGCATTGCCATCGAAGTTAGGTAGGGTGTAAGTTTAGCCTTTAACAAGGCTAATAAGGACTGTTGACCAAGATCCACCTGAGCAGAGGGATGAGGCTGCATGCCTCTCCGACTAGGTGCGACGACCAGGCACAATGAGGCGGCGAGTGGATCGTACCTACTCGGCAGGTATCTCGTCGGTTGTCCCGACCTGTGCAGCGGCCGAGCCCGACGTGGACCTCACACAACGCTAATCACATTGGTTTGCAAAAGGCTTCTCATCCCAATGCGCTGGGCAGAGCTGTAAATCAGGTATTCTATCTATTACGGTTTTACTGACATGGCATATTACTTGGGTGGTGAGTCCATAAATAGTAGGGAAAAAGTCTAACGCGTCTAATAATATTTAAATGACCCTAGGATGGTTTTGTATGACCGTTTTGACACCGTATCCCGCCACACTAGCTTGAGTACCCACGTTTGCAAGTAAATCCATCTGCTGTGTTCCTCTCGTAGTATTTCTAGGTTGCCCCACTACTCGACTAGCATCACGCAACTGGATGTCTCTTGCTCTACCTCCCGTCACTCCAAGACAACATTGAGCACACGCATCATACCTGCGTCCTTGTCATTTGGCCCCTCTAACATTCTCTATCCCTCATTCTATGGCTGTCTAAAAAGCTGAAGGACCGAGCACGTGATCAGACGTGGGGTGTCAGGGGATGAGTAACAATCAACATAAATTTTGCTTTGGCTAGTTCTTGAGAAGATTTTTTATTGGCTCCTATTCACACCACCTCTGGTCGTTAACTTAGCCCTTCAATATTTCAGGTAGACATAGAACGAGAAAGAGAGAGGGACAGATGCTTTGGGAGGGGCTAGATGATGTGGGCGTAGGTGCGGTGTGCGAGCCCAATGCCGTCGAGGAGAGTGTCAAGACGTGGGCACAGGATGTGGGCGTCCGTCCACACGCAGCTTGTGCCAATAACCACGCACATGTGGTGATTATTCCTCCATTCTAATCATACAGACTTATTATCAATGCTCCAAGCTCCATCGCTGCTTCGTTTCGCGTGGGGTCAGGGGCGGCGGCAGGGGTATTCCCCTGCATGCCATGGAATACCCAAGATTTTTGAAATAAACACAAATACATATATGTATACGTATAATGGTATAACTTGTATAGTCGCTAGATGTTGCAAATCTAGCCCAAAGCTCAACAGAAAGCACCGATTATCAGCCCACCAAAGTAAAAAAAAGCGAGCCATTTCTGGCTGCAGCTGGCATCGCACCAATCTCGTCTGAGGCAGCGAGGCAGCGCGAGATAGCCGAGAGCAGTGCGGAAGGAAGGGATCCCATCGAACATCGGCGGCGACGGCGAGCCTTGTGGGCACAGGCGCACGGACGCCGCAAGCCCCTCCCCCTCGGCCATTGCCCCTTCCCTTGGCCTGCGATGCTTCACGAGCGGCAACGCGACTGCTTGTGGGTGTGTGGCGATGCGCCCAGCCCTAGCGTCCCAGCTCCGGCCGGGCGGGCGAGCCCGGCGCTCCGGCAGCCATGCGGCAACCGGGTTCGGCTTGGCTTGCTGCTTGGCCTTGAGCCTTGAAGGTTGTTGAAGCAAGGTGAGCACGAGCATGTCGAATAAATTGTCAAAACTCACATCGGCTCACTATGTACATTTCTCATGTGTGTAGAGATGAAAGGTTTAGAAATTTGAAGAACCTATGCCACTATGTTTAGACCTTGTACTTTGCTTATTACTATTGCACATTTAGATCGAAAATTTTTATGTACGCGGAATACCCAGCTATGAAATCCTGGCTCCGCCACTGTTGGGGTTAAAGGGCAGTGCATGCAAGTTGTTCTGCGGACCCAATTGATTTGCGTGCAAGGAAGTCATGGGAGGCAAGTAGAGCGAAGGCGCAACATTAATCGGATGAGGGAGAAATCGAGATGAATTAACTCAATGCTAATTACTCCTTGAATATGTGTATAGCCATTGCCCACATATGCAACATCTAGATCTACTTTTTAAATCCAGATGAAATACTCGCAACATTCATATGAAACAGATGAAACATTTAGAACATACACTTGCAACATACGTGTATAGCCATTGCACACATATGCAACAACATCTAGATCTACTTTTCCAACATGTAGATGAAACACTTGCAACATACGTGTCGGGTATCAGTATCAGGGATACCTGGAAGAAGGAAGCTAATGGTCGCAAAACACTAACTCCCTCGGATGGTCAAGAGCGTATCTTGGTCTCGTCCGGCTCCTAGGGCATAGGCTCCGTCTCGCCCGACCTCAAGGATACGGGATCCGAGTCACCCGACCCCAAGGGCGCGGGCTCTGTCTCGCCCGACCCCTCGGGCGAGAACCCCGTCACATCTGACCCCAAGGGTGCGGATTCTGCCTCGCCTCGATCCCGAGAGCGCAGGCTCTGTCTTGCCCGACCCCGAGGGCGCGGACTTCGCCTCACCCGACCCCCGAGGGCGCGGGCTTCCCCTCATCCAATGGAGGTCTATACCGCCCCAACCACTACGGGTCTGAAGTACGAGTCTAGGGTCAAACTTCTAACGCCAGAAGGAGAGCAGCACGTCTTGACATGACTGTCGGGGACCTAATACCAGGGTACCCAATGAGGTGAAACTAATAACCATCGAACGTTGACGCCTCCGGTCAGACAAGAACGCTACTACGCTTCTTGCCCGAACGACGGAAGATTGTTCCGCCTCGCCCGACCTCCGAGGGCTAGACTCCACCTCGCCCGACCCCCGAGGGCTAGACTCCGCCTCGCCCAACGGCTAAGGACTGGCTCCGCCTCACCCGACCCCCAAGGGCTGGCTCCGCCTCGCCCGACGGCTGAGGGCTGGCTCCACCTCGCCCGATGTTTGAGGACGGGCTCCACCTCGCTCGACATCTAAGGGCAGGCTCCACCTCGCCCGACGTCTGAGGGCAGGCTCCGCCTCGCCCGACGACTGCACCCTGCTCCTTCATAATGACGAGCATAGGGTACGACAGGACGTTCGAGTCAACCGTAGTACCGAGTACCATGCCCTGCACGCATGCAGGAAGGTACCGCTAGGATATGATGGGACGGGCGCTTTAGGCCTTTCCAGGCATGGCAGAGCCCGAACAGTGTTGTAGGCGCCGACTTCGGTCTTACAGTGTTATGGGCGCCGCCGTCAGCCCTCGGACGTGGATCTTGACACATAGGCATACGACAACCAATACAATCCAAAGAAGAACTCACATCGTCTACAGTGACGAACGTGTGGTCACCTCCCCGGCTACTCCCCACAGGGCCACAGCTCGGCTCCCTAGCACGACGCACCATCCGTCGGTGTAGGATGGGACTTACCCGCTTGCTGGATAAGGCCAGGGCATGGCCCTACGAGGGTCAAAAAAACATGCCATCCCTGACACGGTCTGCCATGTTAGTAGGGCAGGCACAGGGGGAAAGGAAGACCCGGCTCCTTCGAAGGACCTTCGCTGCCTTTGGTTTTTTCCTCTTTCTTCCATCTGTAGCCCCTGTTCCCCCCTTCATCTATAAAAGGGAGGGCAGGGCACCCCACTAAGGGGACCGATCGATCATATACACAACACGACGGATCAATTCCACACACAACACATAGCCAACCAGCAACCGTGCTCTTAGCATCCTTTCGATCTTTCCATCAGAGACTTGGGACATGTCCCTCTCTCGACCGTTTGTACCCCTACTACAAACTTTTTTGGTACTAATAACACGAGCAGCAGCAAACTAGACGTAGGAACATTCTGCCCGAACCAATATAAACCTTGTGTCCTTTAGTACACCATTCGGGCCTAACACGCAACAATTATAAATTTACTAGCCGGTGTTTGTTCGAAACACCGATAGTTGGCGTGCCAAGTAGGGGGCCTTTGCGCGTTCCAAATCAGACCTTAGATGGCTAACCTTGCAATCAGCTGGGTCCCAGGCGCACATGTGCGTTTCGGTGACCTGGACTTCATCGTCACGGTGGGAGAAGAGTTGGTGTTAGCCCACGTCGCCATCCAACCTCTCTCCTCCATCGGCTTCAACTACGGGAGGCTTGAGGGCCAGCCCGGTGCCTCCCTTGGACCCCAGCCATCCAGGGAGGACCCACGGCGCCTCACCCTCTCTCTAGAACACTCCACACGGAGTGCCCCGATGGCGCTTCCGTTCGGTCTCCGCAACGCCGCGGCGACCGTTGGCCACCTTGTGGCACGGCGCACGATCCCGTCCTCCACGGACAACGAGTTCGTGGGGATGATCGAAAGCGTCATGGAATCCCTCCACAGCCTCCTCACGGAGGGGCTAGGGTCAGATTCTAGTTCTGACTCCAGCAGGGGGAGCCATCCCCCCTCCCGGAATGTTTCATGGCGGGTACCCCCGAGGGACACGTCGAAAGCGTCTTTCGCGGATGAGGCTACCCCTGCAGGCAAACTCGGTCGATGGAACCG